GAATATGAAAATCTAACCTTAATTTAGAAATTACCGGCAATACAAAATCCGGCCACCTAATTGTTAACCTTAGCCGACCGTGTCTAACCCATTTCTTCCACCCTATAGGTGCGTCACCTTAAAAAAAAACCTTATCGATCTCGGGATTCAGTGATTAGATTTTGATTATTTTTGGGTTCGTTAGCATCATCTCATCGAGACGAAAATTTTGGTAGCACAACTGACGCACCTCCGATTCAGATCGTCAGGTGAGATGCGTAAACTACGTATTAATCTACCATCTAAACTCAATCTGACGAAAGTTGAGAGTAAAATAAATTGAATAAAAGACTTTTGACTTGGACGCTTTTTTTATTCTTGCTTTTTTGAATCTCTTCGGCGTTTTTCTTATTGGTAGCAACCAGCACCTCTATTCTTTTCTTTAAATTTCTTTTCCCGAATTTTTGTGGCACATTCTATTTCCAATTAATATGCGCTTTTTTTTCTATACATTTGGTTTTGTTTTTTTCCCCCTAAATTTTCTCTGCCTTGTTTAAGTCTTCTCGGCACGTTCAATTTCAACAATACATTTTATTCTATACATATTTTTTTTTCTGAGTAATGACTGATCGATAGGTTACGCACCTCATCTAACAATCTACACCTGAGGTGCGTCAGCTATGATCCGAGGCAAGCGTTAGTCTGAGGCACAACATATATATACTATATATATAGTATATATATCTATATTTATTAGTATATTTATTAGTATATATATATTTATATTTACTATGGTGCACATCATCTAAAGACATCCAAAATTGTAACTCCTCAATGAATATTTAAAATTTTGCAAAAAAAAATACGTTCTATTGTAGTCTTATATAAGTTCTACAAAATTACGTGTTTTTTTTTTTGCAAATTTCGACTTATTCATTGAGGAGTTGTGATTTTAAAAAACATAATATAATTTTAACATGGCTTTATATGGATAAAGCGATCATATCATTGCTATATAAAGATAGATGCACAAACTTGATAGTACATATTACAAAAAAAAAAATATATACAAATTCCATTAAGTTTCTAGAACAAATAAAATTTAGTTTTCTAGAATCTCTGTGTGATAATTGTGATCACTTGTCCCATCACTTCTTCTAGCAAATTGACCATGCCTTAAAATAAAATTATACTAGAGATAGTAAAATTTGAATAAAAAGTTATTCAAACTTGGTCATAATTGTTAAACAAAACCTTTTTTGCATGATGAAACCTCTGATGAAAGTCGAAACCCCAAATTATTCTGATGAAAGTCAAGACTCAAATTCTTCTGACTAAAGATAAAACCTTAAACTTATGCTTAAAAAGACGATACTCTAGTGCTCCCACTAAAAAAAAAAATATTTTTTTCCAGTTAATTAAGTTAATTAACATTCACAGAGATCAGTATCCGAAATTAAATTACATATATGCTAGCAAAAATAAACCAATTCATTTTTTCTGAACAATGCTAGGTTGTTATAGATCGGTCGAAATAACCTTGTCAAAAGGCCATTTCATAGAATAACACAAATAATGAATTAAAACATACTAGTACAAAATAAATTTGTAGGATCGCAAAGTAAGCACCAAGCGATTTCTTACCAAAACTTATATGTATAATACAATATTAAATACTTATTTTTAACTCCCTTTAAACAATTCAAGTACCTATTACAATAAAATTCTTTGCAATTTTTATAAATTTTATTTTTATATATACACATAATCAATAACATTTATTTGTATATACAATACATTCGTCTTTTATCAGTTTTGCCATATATATCTTTACTATTTCGTAGATAACCTTAATGGAATTATCAGAAGAAGACAACTTGAAGCTGAGGTCGTGTTGTTCTAGCGTTAAAAAGAGTCCTGATGCATGTGTAAAATACATTAAATGTTGGCTTTAATTGCTGCAAACAGCTACACGCATAAGCATGTAATATAGATTTTTCTGTCAATCTGCAAAAAATAGAATCTTTCAAGCGTTTTCAGGGAGAAAAAATTGGGAAAGTAATGTCCTCTGGAAAGCAAGTTGTTGACAGTAGTTCTGTTCACTCAAGTGGAATTATTTATCAGTTTGTAGAAAGAGGTAAAGTTTTTTTAAAGTTTGAGGATAAGGAGGAATTAGCCAATTACTTGAATAGTTATAGAATTGTTTTGGAAAAGGAAAGCGGTTTTTATGAGTTAAGAGAAAATAAGAAGTAAAAATTTATCCAAATTCTCTATAATTTTCTTTTCGCCATTTTTCTGTCGCTTTTTTATCTTGGTTCTGATAATTAACTAAATAAAGTAGATTGTTATAAAACTTGTCACCTTTTTGTGGTTGATGATTTTTTTTAGTCCCTGACAATAAAAACAATTAGTTAAATTTATCATCATATTTTCATCATTCTTTTCAATGTTGTTCTAATTTAGAACAAAATAGCTATATGTATTATTAATCTCTATCGTATATGACAGTAGAATTAGGTTTTTTCGAGTGTTTCATACTGATATTACAGGTCGTCTTCACTAATTTTTTTCATTCTTAATTGAATTGATCTTTTCCAAAAAAATATATATTTCAAATTTTTTCCTGTTCACAGAAGCATATTAATAATATAAGATTTAATCTTATGTTCAAGTACATCTTTAATGTTATTATAGAAGCAATCCATTTAATCTCAGGATTTAACATTAGAAGCAAAATTTGTATAAGCTTTATGCTTTCAAAATATTGTCTTGGTTCGTTCCACAGTATGAGTATAATGACAGATCCAGGATGTAGGTGAGATTTTTCAGATTACGTGATCAATCGATCTCTGGTCCCATGTTGGGATCATGTAACGAAGTCAGCTTTTTCCTGTTATACAGATTAACATTAAAAAAATAAATACACAGATCTTTTTTTTTTTTAACCAACCTTCTTTTTTTTTAACATTGCTATTTGTCGTTGGTGTTGTTACCTCTTTCACTGTTGATATAGTCTTCAGCTTTATTATTGTAATTTTGTCATGTCTTTGTTTTTTTTGTATTGCCATTTCATTTGTAGTTTCGTTTTCTTTTTTTCTATAGTGTCATCTATTCGCCGTTTCGTCTATTTGCCGTTTTGTCTATTTGCCGTTTTGTTCATTCGCCGTTTCGTCGTTTTGTCATTTTGTCATAGTACTGTAATTTAGAAATAGTATTAGTGTTAGTTAATATGCGGATTTAAAAGTTAGAGATTAAAATAAGTAAAGTAAGTTGGGTTTGTATTAGCAATAGAGTTAATGTTTAAGGGTTAGGGTTAGTGATATAGTTAGTAACGAATTAAATTTAGTAGTATAGTTAGAGTAAGCATTAGAGTTAGCGATAAAGTTAATAATATAATTAAGTTCTGAATATTTAATGTATAATATATAGTATTCTTATACAA